TCAAAATTAAAAAATAAGGTAAACATTCCATCAGGAAGTTGGGAAATGAATAGGGCAAACTCAAATAAGAAAGGAAATTAAGATAAGGTCAGAAAATGAAACACAAGAAGTTGAGGCATTGACTGTTTAGAATTATTAATATGTTAAGTTTCTGGCAAAACTGATTAAGAAAAAGAGAAGATACACATATATCAAAATGGAAAACTGATAAACTTGTTGCATTCCTTTTAATGGTGTGTCATATTGCAAAGCTGGGGCTTTTTTGTTGCTGTGACAGAAAAGCAAATACATTGTAAAAACTTAACATGGAATAGGAAATAAAGTTGGCAGTATTTTCTAAAGTTAAGAAGTTGAGGGCTGGGGATGTGGCTCAAGGCGTAGCGCGCTCACCTGGCATGCGTGCGGCCCGGGTTCAATCCTCAGCAACACATACAAACAAAGATGTTGTGTCCGCCGAAAATTAAAACAATAAATAAAAAAAAAATTCTCTCTCTCTCTTCTCTTTAAAAAAAAAAAAAAAAAAAAAGAAGCCTACCAGGTGCTGAGTTGTGAACTGATTTGATGAACAGAATTGGCATGTCTTTTGGTCTAGTGGTGCCATTGAAAGTTTGAGAACCTCTGAAATATAAGGATATGAAGAACTAAATGCTAAATTCGTAAACAGATGAAACATAAATTCCTAGAAAAAATGAATATAAGTTGAATACAGTATAAAAATATCAGAATGATAATCAATTATCTTCCCAAAATCCCTCACCTAGATGACTATACAGATGAGTTCCATCAAATTATTTTAATTTTTTTTTTAGTTGTAGATGGACACAATACCTTTATTTAATTAATTAATTTATTTTTTATGTGCTGCTGAGGATCAAACCCAGTGCCTAATGAGCTAGGCAAGTGCTCTACCAGTGAGCTACAACCCCAGCCCCAGTTCCATCAAATTTTGAAGGAACAATTCCTTTCTTACATATCTTAATTATAGAAACTGGGAAAGCAGTGAGAGGCTGCCTTATTCTTTATGAACTAGTACAATTTTGATTCTTAAACCCTGATAAAAACAATACAAAAGGATATGTTATAGAACCATTTCCTTTATTAATATATATGGAAGGATCCTAAGTAAAATATTAGCTATTTCAATCCAAAAATACACTGAGAATGATACATAGAATCAGGTGGATTTATTTAGTTCAGGAGTCAAAGGTAGTTCATCTGTAAGGGTTATTAATGCAACTCAACTCACCATCTTTAATAGTTGAGAGAAGAAAAATGTTTCTCTGGTTTAATTCAGAAAAGTATTTTCTACCTTCCAATAATTGTGTATTGTAGAAAATCTTGGCAAACAACATAAATAAAAGAACTTTATTGGATTTTTGAACACTTAAACATAATTATTATGATGAATGTAAGAGACTTGACGTCTACTCATTGTTCAGCTTCAAAATTTGCTGTAAAATGTCAACTCTGTTTAATGTTTGCCTCATCCACACACAGCTTTTTCTGCCCCACCACTTTATTATTAAGCTAATTCCAGATGTGCCTTATTAGTAGATGATCAGAATGTAGTTTTTTTCTCTATAACCATTAACATCCTGAAAAATTAACACTAATTGTCTAATATCTAGCCATGGTTAAAATTGTCCTGATTGATTCATAAGTGTGGTTTCAAAGTTCAAATATTGTTGTCTTTGACTGCTGTGCCTTTTGGTGTTTTTAATTTTTTTTCAGAATAGTCTCACTAAGTTGCCAGGGTGGCCTCATTTGTTTCCTACTTTAGCCTCCTGAGTAGCCGGCTCCTCCCTCCTTCCTCTACTCTCCATTCTTCTTCGTTTTTCCATTTATGTGACTAAGAAACAAGTTCATTCTTTCTGTGGAATTTTCCATGTTATGAATTTGGCTGGTTGTGTCCTCATGGTGTTGCTTAACAGGCTTCTTAAATTCCTGTAGTAGGTTAGATTGAGTCCTGTTTTGGTTTTTGTATGGGAGAGGGGATTATTACTTCATAATAACTTTTTAACTCTTCAAATCAAAGGGGACATAATGCTTGACTGCTTTTATTTTAAGGTTGGGCTTTAGTACCTAGCAGTTAAAAATCATTATAAAGGTTACTTAGATCATTATTCCATTGTGAATAGCAAAATGCTGATTTATCATTTCTTCTTCATTTATTAGCTAGATGTCTATAAAAGAAAAACAGTCCCTCATCAACCTTTTGTTTACTTTGAAATAAAATTCATTCAGAAAAGGGAAGAATTGTGGACCTAATAATTTACTCTTGTAAAGATATTAGTAATCTTGATGTATTGTCAATAAGTTCCAAATAATCTGTCAAGTTTTTAGTTGGATATTTTTGAGAAACTCTGTAAATATCCTAAATGGTGTGTGGAAGAATTAAGGTTGTGGCCTGGGGCTGTGGCTCAGTGGTAGAGCAATAAATAAATAAATAAAGGTATTGTGTCCATCTACAACTAAAACAATTAAAAAAAAAGAATTAAGGTTATGAATAGCTTAGTTGACTTTAGAAAAGGAGGAAAAAAGGGGGACTTATGAGATTAAGACATATTACAAAGACATAATGATAACTATGTGGTTAGTATACGAACATGTAGATCTCTCAGAATATTAGAGAGTTTAGACATAGATCTATGGATGTGTGGGAACTTGATATAAAGTTAACAGTGCAATCAATAGAAACTAAATTATTTCACAAATAATGTTGAGGGGGCAAGTAGCTTGTTATATATGGGAAAATAAGACTCCTTTGCATCATATACAAAGGTAGACTCCCAATAAATACCAAATGTGGAAAAAAAACAAAAAGGTTAGAGGAAATGAAAAATATTTTTTGAGATGTGAGTTTGTACTCTTAAAACCTCAAAGTACAAACTAGATGTATATATTAATTTAATTGTACCAAATGGGGAGTTTTGATTATCAGAGACTCTATGAGCATAATTAACACACAGAAGTGGGAAATGGCAGACAGTATTGGCAATGTTTAATATTAACAAGCAATTAATACCCTCCAGAGTATACAAGGAATTCCTGCAAATAATAAAATGATAGCAATCCCAGCAGGAAAATTTGTAAAGTATATAAAAAGGAATTTATAGAAAAGGAAACCCCCAAATCAGCAAGCATATGAAGAGTTCCTCAACATAATTAACAATTAGAAAATGCAAATTAAAACAATAAGATATGTTTCATATATATCAGGCTGGTGCACATTAAAAAATTGAGCAATAAGAAGAGTTGCTGAAGGTGCAAAGCTATGAAGACCCTTATACATTGCCCATGGTCATGTAGCCTCTCTGAACAATAGCATATATATGACTCAGGTGTTCCACTCTTGATTTTATATGCAAATGACATCTCAAGTGGATTCAGGTAATAACATATGCAGGGATGTTCATTACAACATTATTTGTGGTAGGAAGGCATTGGTGGATATGTAAATGTTCAGTACTAGCATAGTAGAGGGTAAATTATTCCAGCTACAACTTTCAGCAACAGAACAATTCTGACACCAGATGTGTTGGTCTCCAGCAGACATCAAATGAGTGTCCTATAATTTGATTCAGTTCTGACATCATATACCACAAGTTCCACAAGCCTACCAGTCACTTCAGATGCATATTGCAAGGTCCCCCTCTTCAGTCCAACCAACTATGAAATTGGGGGTTTCAATGAACCCCTCCTTGAGTTTGATCAACTTACTAAAGCAGCTCGTAGAACTTAGGAAAACATTTTATTCAAGTTTACCCATTTATTGTAAGAGCTGTTTCAAAGGATACAGATGAATAGCCAGATGGAAGAGATACACGGGACAAGGCAGGTAGAAAGAGCCTCCTTGCCTTCTCTAGAATCCACCAGGGACCTCTATGTATTTACCAATCAAGAATCGCTCTGAATCCAGTCCTTTTGGAGTTTTAAGGAGGTTCCTGATTGATTATATCATTTGTCTATTGCTATAACTCAAACTTTAGCCCATCTCTCCTCCCTAGATGTGGAGGATTGGGGCTGAAAATTTAAATCTTTATTCTCATAGTTGGTTCCCCTGTCAAACAACCCCCATCCTAAGGCTGTCAAAGGATCCCCCAGCCATCTGCCAACTGTCATCTTATTAGAACAAGAAATCACCCAGGAAATTCCAAGAGATTAGATCTCTGTGTCTGGAATTGGGGTCTGAGACCAAATATTAGCAAAAGGATTCTCCTAGCACCTCTGTCTATAAGAATTTTAAAGCTCTATGTAAGAAACCACTGTTTCTTATTTTATACACACTCCATCTCATTTCATGAAATTAGAGATTCTCTGAAGATGTGATCCATAAATGTTATATAATTGGCAGTATGATTAAGGCAAATGAAACAACTTGGAGCACAACTAGCAACTTATCCACCCTATGGAACTGTTGCTCTCCCATTAATATGTCTTGGACCATATAGTTACATGAATACCAGACATATGGACCAAGTGAGGAGACCCATTTCAGTCTGTATGCTGAGCATATAGAATGTTTAATTTTCCCCTTTTAGTTAAGTAGAGATATAAGTTCTAATATTGTCTTCTTGCATTTCAGTTGACACCTCCCCTTTTGAGATATATATATATATCTCTTTGAAGACCCTTGGTCTCAAATACCTGTTTGGAGGAAGTTATTTTTAATTCCAAGTTATGAATCTTAAGAGTTTATACACATTTTTAATGTGTTCCATATACATCTGTATTTTTTAATATATAGTGTGATTTTCCCAAATCTTGGGGGAAATTTAACATTCTAGTAACAAATGCCTTGAAAGACCCTCTAGTACACATCTAGTACCTTAAAATGATTTCACTGTCAAAGATCTGACAGATCTTTGGGATTGATATTTCCTGTCTTAATAATACCTCTAGTCTGGCTTTTCTAAGATGGGTCCCAATGTGAAATATTCTGTTGTGAAATAACATAGTTATTTTATGACACTCTGATTTTTTTTTCTTTAACTTTACAGAGACTGTGCAGTTGATCCAACTTGTGTTTTATGCATGGAGTGCTTTTTGGGAAGTATTCACAGAGACCATCGATATAGGGTTAGTAATATCCAAATAATAATTATATACAGTATTGAATTTTATATTGAATACTTTTCTTTTTAAAGCCCAAAGATTTAACATGTAAATGGGGAAAGTGGTTTTAAAATGTATTCTTTAGGGCTAGGGATGTAGCTCAATGGTAGAGTGTTTGCCTAGCATACACAAGTCCTTGGGTTCCATCCCCAGCACTACCAAAAAAAAGTATTTTTTAAATTTTTAATTAAATTTAATTAATTTATTTATTTTGGCATGGGGCATTGAACTCAGGGATGCTTTATCATGATTACATCCCTAGCTCTTTTTGAGATAGGGCCTTGCTAAGTAGCTAAGGTTGGTTTCAAATTTCTGATCCTTCTGCCTCAGTCTTCTGAGCTGGGATTACTGGTATGCTCCACTGCACCCAGCTTGTTTTGCTATTTTTAAATGTTTATTAAAGTGACATTTACTACACTATAGAAGAAGGCCCAACTCCAGTGCATAATAAGACTCACCAGTTTTATTATTTTAGGCAGTTTATTCCTAAGCCTGTTCTGGTTCCTCTGTTGGAAATTGAAGATAGACCATGAACATTCAAAGGTTAGGAACCAGATGGTAGATGGAACTTTTACCCTGATCATAAAATAAAATGGTAGAGAAGGAATATATCAATCTTGTTCTTAATTCCAGAAGCTCTAATGGGTCAGGACTTTTTCTTCTGTTTTTAATTTGCTTTACCCAAGTATTGATAATATATTAAAGCAGCTACAAAATTGGGCTCCCTACATTCTTACATGTTCTCTTTATTCTCATAAATCCATAAAAGGATCCCACTTTCCTTTAAGAGAATCCCAGTTGCTTTTAAGGCTTTCTATCTGTGGTTTGATAATAAAACACACACACAAGCCATAAGGTGGAGTTATCATTTTCCAAATGGTTGCCTATCCATGTTTCTGGGCACACATCTTTGCGTCCCCTTGGAATAGCTGAAACACATGGTTTATATGAATTATATTGTGATATATAACACACAAATACTTATACTTTGGACAGGATATAATAGGATTTATTCTAAAATTTGCTGTAACTAATACCTGTTCCTAAACTTTCCTAAAGTATTTCAAGAAAGGCAGAATTTCTAGTCTCCCGATTATTAACTAACATATTCTATCCCACCAAATTTCTTGAATCATTGCCTTAACTTAAGGAATTGTGAATAATTCTTGAATCACACAAGTGTGAAAGTTTTTATGATCATGTAGCACTTTTGTGTTTCCTGAACTCTTATTACCTGTCCTTTCTAAAAGTGGTTTTTTAGGAAGTGTGAGAGAAGAAAAATGAAATATTTCTATAGTCCTTGTTGGTCATTTTTTATACTATTATTAAACTCTTGTGGGGGCCAGGCCCAGTGGCATGCACCTATAATTCCAGTGGCTTGGGAGGCTGAGGCAGGAGGATTGCAAATTCAAAGCCAGCTTTAACAACGGCAGGGTGCTAAGCAAAAATAGGGCTGTGGGTGTGACTCAGTGGTTGAGTGCCCCTGAGTTCAATCCTTAGTTACCCACCGCCCCCCCCCCCAAAAAAAAAAAAAAAAAAAAAAACTCTTGTGGGGGACAGCAACTACAAATTTCTTTTTGTACTGGAGATTGAACCCCTGGGTATTTTACCCAGTCCTTTTTATTTCTAGATAGGGTCTCACTAAGTTATTGAAGCTGGCTTCAAACTTTTGATTCTCTTGCCTTAGCCTCTTGGGCTGCTGGGATTATAGACATGTGCTACCATGCCTGGCTAGCTATAGAAATCTTTATAACCCTTGAATGTGTATTACATATCATATTATTTTGTTATGTTATATTATGTTATCACAACCTGATTGCATAGATCTCAGCATTATACTAATTTAACCAAAATCCTGCAGGAAAACCTTCATGAATCCTCATTATTTTTCTAATTAAGGAGGCTATGCAGGCAGACATATCCTCTTTAAAATATCTGTAGTTTATTGAACACTACAATGTATTTTATTTTGAAATCACATAGATTAACCTACACACTTATTTAAAATAAAACATCAGAAGGCTTGGCATTTTATTTAGTTTTATCCCTCCAAAGAATTAAACATATAAGCAGTGTTATTTTCTTAGCACTTGATATTTTTATTTATTATCTGATAGCCCTCAGTAAATACTTATTGACAAGGTACTTTACAATTTTCTTTGAAGATGACAACATCAGGAGGTGGAGGTTTCTGTGACTGTGGTGATACAGAAGCTTGGAAAGAGGGTCCTTACTGTCAAAAACATGAACTTAACACCTCTGAAATCGAGGAAGAAGAGGTAAAAACATTTTCACAAAGTTTCTTTTAAGGAAAAATTGTTTGAGTTTTAAAATTTTTATCATTACAGGGATTATTTTTCCTGTTATGTATGGGCCAGTTAACTAGGTTGGTTTTTGTATATAACTTTCTTTTCTATTACCATGCATGTTAGCCAACCCTAATCATCATCTCTTAGTAAATCATATCACTGGTTTTGTGATGGGACCAGGTGTAGAAATAACAGCTCAGTACAGATGATCCCAACTCCAGCTGTACATATATGTTTCTTAAAATTGTTTTTTTTAGATGATATTTGTAATAAAGTGGACTCTTGTTAAATAAATGCTTGAATGTCTGCTTTTTGTGACAATTTAATGTTTATTTCAGGATCTTTATTTCAGATTTTATTTTATTATTTTTGAATGTCAGAGAGGTATGTATAAAGTACTTATAAGGTCCAATATAGGTTTGGGATAAATGGAAAATAATAGTCCTTCCTGATGCATGTACCACACAGGTCTCAAATATTTTAACAGAATGATCAAGATTTTTGATGTCAGGGTTGTGTGTGTGTTTGTGTGTGTGTGTGTATTACTAGGTATTAAACACAGGAATGCTTTATCCCTGAGCTATATCCCTAGCCCTTTTTATTTTTCATTTTGAGATAAAGTCTCACTAAGTTGCCAACACTGGCCTCAAACTTGTGATCCTTCTGCTTCAGCCTTCCGAGCTGCTACAATTACAGGTATGTGCTACCATGCCCAGCTGCAGCTCCATATTTTAAAATATATTTGATCAAAGTTCTGCATGTGAATATAAACATACAAGACAAATTAAGATATTTGAAAGAAAAGTTTTGTACTTTAGAAAAAAGATTAACAAACACTACTACAAAATTTTAGGACTATTGGAAAAAATATTTGCAAATCATATATCTGGTTAAGGATCTAGTATCCAGAAGATGTATCTTACAATTAATAATAAAAAGACATCCCAATTTAAAAAATGGATAAAGGACTTGAATAGAGATTGCTCCGAAAAAAATAAATCTACAAATGACCAGTAAACACATGAAAAGATGGTCAACATCATTAGTCATTAGGAAAATGCAAATTGGGGTATTTTTTTTCGGGGTGGGGGCTGGGTATTGAACCCAGGGCCTTGTGCATGTGAGCTGAGCTATATCCCTATTCCCGGAAAATGCAAATTGAAACCACAGTGAGACACCACTTCACAACCATTAAGAAAATATATACTGTAGGTACTTGATGGGTTATAAAATTCCCAAACTCTGCCATTTAATATCTGTTTAAGAGTTCAGTTAAGGGAAATGAAATCTCCGACTAAGATGGACTAAAGATATTAAAAGACAGTAATGTGTTTGGTATACCTGGTCCCTACTAACTAAATTCATACATGTATCTAGGCTCTCCACATTACATGCTTGAAAAGGAAGAGAACTATAAATGTTAGAATGTGGTTTCGTCTGTCAAAAAAATTTTTATTAACATGAATTTTTGGTGATATATTCAATCTACATCTTAAGAAAAAACTGATAAATTTTTGTTATACTTCTTTAGGAAGACTGTGTAGGGGTTGCCCCATGTTTTCTCAGATCTTGTCATTAGAGTGGGATATTTCTTCATTGTATAAGCTAAGGATCAGCAGACTATGACCCCACAAACCCAATATTATCTGCAACCTCTTTTTGCCTGAGTGATTTTTTTGTTGTTGTTGTTTTAAAATAGTTGGAAGGAAAAAAAAAATCAAATAATATTTTGCAATATATGAAAATGATAAGAAATCCAGATTTCAGTGTCTATAAAATATTTACAGGAACACTGGTATGCTTGATTTAATGTGCTGTCTGTAGCTGCTTTTCCATTACAACAGCAGAATTGAGTTATTACCGCAGAGCCCCTGTAACCTGCAAAGACTAAAAATTTTTTAAATGTATTTTTTAGTTTTAGTTTTAGGTAGACAAGATGGCTTTATTTATTTTTTTATGTGGTGCTGAGAATTGAACCCAGTGCCTCACATGTGCTAGGCAAACACTCTACCACTGAACCTGAACCCCAGCCCCCTAAAATACTATCTTACTCTTTGACAGAAAACATTTGTTGACCAAGAGTGTATGTTGTTGGAACCCTTTTGTTTAGTAAAAAACTAAATGACTAAATGACTGTAATATTTCCTAGTAATAATGAAGGAAAGCTCAACCAGGTTTACAAATGGCCCTATGTTCAAGGGGATTAATGGGGCGGGTAGTGGGGTAGTACTTCTCTTAGTTGAGAACCACCACATATTGTAGGGTGTCTCCTTTGTTAATATTTATTCCTATAAATAAGAAGTTTCTTTTAGGTTTATTCATTTAGATTTTTTTTTTCTGTATGTAAATCTAATAACAGTATTTCCTTTGATTGAGGCTTCTGGAAAAAGGGCCATCTATTTGGAAACAGCCTGTCTAATAGCCTGTAGTAGCTATACAGAAATTTACATGATCTTCCTTTATAAATGAGTGTTATCTTGATTGCAGTTTATTTAAATTCTTTTTGGAATAAAATTTAATTAAATAATAAATATTAACTGAATGAACATCCTTAGTGAAGATTCTATGATCAGAAAATTTCAGTTGCAAATACTGTTTCCATTTATTTCTCTATTTTTTTATTTTTATTTTTTGTAGTTGTAGATGGACAGAATGCCTTTATTTAATTTATTTTTATGTGGTGCTGAGGATCAAACCCAGTGCCTCACACATGGTAGTCAAGCGCCCTGCCACTGAGCTATAGCCCAGTGCCAACTGTTCCCATTTCATTTGAATACAGATCAGTGATTATTAAAAGCTAGGTTCTTTACTAAGTACTTTACTTGATCTATCTCATTTAAGTCTAAAATGGCCTCATAAATTGGATACAGCAGCACTTGTCTATAATCCCAATGACATGTAGGGCTGAGCAGGAGGGTCACAAGTTGGAGCCAGCCCTAGCAACTTATCAAGATTCTGTCTCAAAAATAAAAAGGGCTGAGGATAAAGCCCCTGGCTTCAACCCCCAGTACAAAAAAGAAAAAAAGCCGCATAAAATAGATACTGCTGTTCCTAATATTTTATAGATGCAGAAGCTTGAGTTTTATATTAAGAAACTTGCCCAAAGTATTCCATATAGTAAGTGCTAGAGCTAGATTTAATCCTAGGTAGTATAAACTTGAGTAATGAAATTCCTAACAGTCCATTATGCTAGTTTTTTTTTTTTTTAAATATGTTTTTAGTTATAGATGAACACACAGTATCCTTATTTGTTTTTATGTGGTGCTGAGGATTGAATCCAGTGCCTCACATATGTGAGACAAGTGCTTTACCACTGAACTACAGTCCCAGGCCCCATTGTGGTAGTAAAAGAAATTTTAACAGAAAAATTTTAAATGAAATTCAAATATAAAAATCCTAGTAATAAACAAGTTAAAGTGGTATTAATGAATTTTTTTAAAATTATATGTGGTGCTGAGGATTGAACCCAGTGCCTCACACATTCCAGGCAAGTTTGCTACCGCTGAGCCACAGCCTCAGCCCATGAATTTTTTTTAATAAGATGAAACATATTATTTACTCATCAGAAAGTCAGTTTGTGAGATAAGAAAGATTATTTGGGGCTGGGTGTGGTGGCACATGCCTGTAATCTCAGTGACTCAGGAGGCTGAGGCTGGGGGATCTCGAAGCCAGCCCCAGCAATTTAGCAAGGCCCTAAGCAACTCAACAAGACCCTATCTCCAATAAAAGATAAAAAAGGGTTGGGGATGTGGCTCAGTGGTTAAGCACCCCTGGGTTTAATTCCTGGTAACCCGCCCCCCCCCCCCATTATTTTGGTACCAGGAATTAATTCAGCTTCTTGTTTATATTTTCAGTTGGCAGTATTGAGAAAATCTTCATTTATACCTTATTTGTGTGATACAGCCATTAAAATCTTTATTGTAATGTAAAAATGTGAGTGTGTAACCGATGTGATTCTGCAATTTGTATTTGGGGTAAAAATGGGAGTTCATAACCCAATTGAGTCAAATGTATGAAAGATGATATATCATGAGCTTTGTAATGTTTTGAACAACCAATAAAAAAAATCTTTATTATAATTCAGGTTTACATTTTTAAAAATTTAAGCATTACAAGAGTATATAGTAGTGTACCTTGCATTCTTCTAGCTTGAAAGAAAAGTCAAAGTTTACTATCAACTTTGTTTTATAATATAAATCTAATTCAAGAACTAAAATCAATAGTAGTAATTGATAGTACAATTTACAGTTAATTTCTCAAGAATTGGTGGTTGTTTGCATCCAGAATCATTGAATTTTTATAAACACTGTTTTTTGTAATTTTTCAGTCCCTGACTTTTTTGCATTTTAGGAGTAATCATAAGAAATGGAATGACTGTGTGGTGAGGTGATATTACTAAGAAAGCTGAGTTTTGGTTCTCTTTTCTATTTTGGTGTAGTGTGAGGTTCATATTATATTATTAGTACTTTTTTTTGAGTCCCCAGATGGTACCATTTCTGCTTCTCTGTGCACAGGTCTCACCATGTTAATGACTTTTAAAGCCTCTGTAACAAATAATAATGAACCTTGCTAAGTAGAGAGGAATAAACAAAACTATGACAACAGAAAACTTGATAGGATATGTAACAGCTTACATGGGAAGAGTTATAGATAAAAAGTATTGTAAGAAATTGAAAAATCTGTTTCTTACTGAGGAAAGTAAATCGACCTTTGAGCCTTAGACCTATCTCCTTTAGAAATTTTTGTCCTTTTTTTATTCCACAGTCTTTATTTGTTTATCAGTTCCATTTGGTTTGTCTGGGTGAAAATTGTGTGGATATGTGTGTGTACACGCATTCATACGTAAGAATATGCTTATTACTATTGTCATGTTATGGCATGTTATAACATGATACTTTCTAATTTGAGAAATAAGTAGAATGCTGTTTAGCCATTGATCTAAATAAAATGTTTAGATTTAAGATAAAGCATTAAGATTAAAGATTACATAAAACATTTTGCCAGCCTTGACTGAAAGATAGCATGATAAACATTATGCATGTTTAATGGGCCTGGCTCAGTTGGTAGAGTGCTTGCCTAGCATGCACAAGGCCCTGGTTCAATCCCCAGCACCACAAAAAAGAAAAAAAAAGAAAGAAAGAAAAAGAAATTAAACATTAGGCATGTTTAAAATAGTACTTTTTTACATTAACCTAGAAATGTATTGACTTACCAACACTGTTAAATCTCTTGTGCAGAGTTCTCTGGTAGCATATACACATATCTCATGCTGCAGAGGGAAAAGGAGACAAATGAGTGGTTCCTAATATCCAGGGACAGTTTTCTGACTTTGATGAGTCCTCCCTTTTAAAATTATTAAAATCAAGCTCTCCTTTAGACCTATAGAACTATTCTTATTTGCAAATCCATACAAAATATTCATTTGCTTTTTTCTTCAAATTAGATAATCAGGATATGAAGCTAGATGGTTTGATGTTAGATTTTAGTGATCCTGAAATATCATTCCAAAATTCCAAAATTCTTTGGAGTTGCCATTGGATGATTCAATTGGTTCAAAATTGGGGTTGTTCTGATCAAAAACATTTTAGGAAGTTTGATGTATTGGGTTGTAATGTGTAGGACTAAATTCATTGAGAAGTTGAAGCTGGAATACTTTTCGGCTTTCTCTATACTGTTTTTTGAAAGGTAGAAGCAGATGGGAAAAAAGAAAATTAATGTTCATTTAACATGGTTGCATTATTTTTTTTTCTATTCTTCCAGGATCCTCTTGTGCATTTATCAGTAGATGTGATAGCAAGAACTTACAACATTTTTGCTATTATGTTTCGTTATGCAGTAGAGATATTAACCTGGGAAAAAGAAAGTGAATTGCCAGCAGATTTGGAGATGGAGTAAGTATAGCCCCTTTATTCTTTGTGTGTAGTCAAAATTGTTAAATTTTTACTTTATACAGGTAGGATAGGACATAATTTTTTTTAATGATTTGATTTTAAGAGAACAAGAGTTTTGATATCATAGTTTTTAAATATGTATAATTCATTTAATTGGTGAAGTTTTCCTCTTGGTTCATGGTTGGTTGGTTAGTTGGTTTATAGTCATTTAAAACTATTTTGAGACTAACTAGTTTCAGACATGGCAGTTTTCTTTCTTTCTTTCTTTCTTTCTTTCTTTCTTTCTTTCTGATGATATGTAAAACTGATAAGTTACTATACAATTCTACTTTTTATTTCCTGTATCATACATCTTAGGGAATGAGCTCTTCAGTGTAAGTGGTTTGAATAAATACTTGCTCAATTTTAATCATTTTGATTCTAATTATAAAATGTATTCCACCCTTATAATGATTTCTTTTTAGCATGCAGCTGCCATTTTTACTTAGATTATTGAGGTAATGGACTTGTGACCAGAGAGCTGGATTCAGCCACCACTGTATTAAGGGGAAGGGCTTACTTTTCCTTGTTAATATGTTTGCCTAAACCTTCTCTTTAATTAAAAAGTGAAACCAAACTTGTTGGAATTGTGTCTGTAGCAAAGGATGAATTCAAGCTGGACACTGGTAGTATTTCTTTTTTGATTTTTTAGTGAGTTTCAGAGAATTGAGCTTGTGGGTAAAGTGTTTTTTAACAAAATGAGTTGTTGCTATAGTGAATTTTTTTGGAAATATTGAAAATTACTTAGTGCCTTTTAACTGTTATCTTCATGAAATTCAGGTTGGGATTAAATGATCTAAGATCTGAGTTTAGAGCCTAGAGAATAGAATAGTTTTTGTTTTATTGTTCAGACCTATCAGCATAGAAGGGAAATGTATATCTGACTTGATTTTCTTTTCTTTTTTTTTTAATATTTATTTTTTAGCTGTAGTTGGACACAATACCTTTATTTTATTTATTTATATATGGTGCTGAGGATCGAACCCAAGGCCCCGCATGTGCCAGGCCAGCGCTCCACCACTGAGCCACAACCCCAGCCCCCCCCCAACTTGATTTTCTTGTAATATTTTCCCTCTTAGTTTTCTTTCATCTACCCATTAACTTAAATCATCCATATCTCTTTAGGTATATCTCCTGTTACAAGTCTTTGATTGTTCGTAAGATGGCAAAAATAAAAATCCATTATTCAAGGTTTTACTTCTCTCCAGACCACACTAATTTCACATCAGTCTCTTCCTTTTTCCTGATTCTCAGCTCCCCAAATTTACCTTTGCCAACTCTATGCCTTTGCTTTCAACATTCCTGTAGTCTAGGGTTTCTCAACTTTGACACTATTGGCATTTGGAACCAGATAAATTATTTGTCAAGAGAACTGTCTGGTAAATTGTAGGATATTTAGCAGCATCTCTGGCATCTGTCCATAAATGCCTATAGCATCCCCAAGCCCAGTCATGACAACCAAAAATGTCCACAAACATTATTGAATGTTAATCTATGGGAGGTGGAGTGGAATTGATAGCAAGAACTTACAACATTTTTGCTATAATGTTTCGTTATGCAGTATAGATATTAACCTGGGAAAAAGAAAGTGAATTGCCAGCAGATTTGGAGATGGAGTCTGACTTTGGGTTTTAGATTGCTTCTTTAGCAATTCTTCTCTGAACTTCCAGACCTATTATATCCTGCTCTAGTATCCTTCTGTTCAGGTCACATACAGTTATACATTCAGTATTTTCTCCACCAAAATGTAAATATAATGACACAGAGCAGAGACTACAAGATGACTTCTTTAATGATACATGCCCAATACTTCTCACATTCTGTAAGGCAGAGTATGCTATTAATATTAATCAGCCTGGAATAACATAATATTCAAATAGATAATCTATCATTAATTTTTTATCCCGCAGAGAAAAGAGCGACACCTACTATTGTATGTTGTTTAATGATGAGGTTCACACCTATGAACAAGTAATATATACTCTCCAGAAAGCTGTTAACTGTACTCAAAAAGAAGCCATTGGTTTTGCAACAACAGTGGATCGAGATGTAAGTGATTTTATCATATTGACATCATATAATAAATTGAACTGCTACTACAGATAACTTACTGCAGAAAATTGGCTTTTTAAAAAATTTCATTTGAATATTGGCCCAAATGTATATTGGTGTAACTGTAAGCAGTTGTCAGAAAGTTTAAAAGGAAATATATAGTTATCTTCATTCTACCTAGTCTTTAAAATATTCATCTATGAAAAGGGAAATTATAAAAACCTAGTAGAATGAATGTTGTGTTGTTCAAAGAAACATATACACTAATGGTTTGAAAAAGGATGTTTTTGAAAGAAAAATTGAATTTACTTATCATTGATGAGTAGAATGAATATTGTAAATATTAAATATTGACTAGCGTTATATGTTCAAACACATTTGTTTATTTACCAGTTTATAAGGTACTAATATTGAATTGAATGTTTTTACAAATTAATTTATTTTTATTTATAGGGACGTAGGTCTGTTCGATATGGAGACTTCCAGTATTGTGAGCAAGCAAAATCAGTAATTGTGGTAAGTAACTTAAAAACATTCCTGTACTATTATTTTTTATTGCCTCCTTAATTTAGTGTTTATGAATAAATTTTTATTCTTTCATGAATATAAAGCCAATGTCAACTAAATCATATTTACAGGTAATGTTTCTTTTGAGTATTACATTATTTTATGTAGTTTGTTTATTTGTTTTGTTTTATATTGTTTTGTTTGGTACCAGGAGTTGAACCCAGGGGCAACTTAACCACTAACCATATCCCCAGCACTTTTTCTTTTTTATTTTGAGACAGGGTCTCATTAAGTTACCTAGGGCCTTGCTAAATTGCTGAGGCTGGCTTGAACTTATGATCCTCCTGCCTCAGCCTCCCAAGATGCTGGGATTACAGATGTGTGCCAACCACACCTGGCTTCATCTAGTTTTTTAAAACTATGTAAGATTGATAATAGAAAATGAAGAGATAGATAAGAAATTTTAGAAGTCTTTTTGCTTTTTGTTTTGTTTTTAAGTAATAGGATTTCCCATTGCCTTTTAGTAATTAAATTGGTCTTTAGCACCAAAATTAGAATTCAGAGAATGGTGCTTCTTGATACATGATAGCAAGATAGTAGCTTAATAGTCTTTACTGTATTATTTTTTAAAGTTTGTTACTTAACTATTCCATGTAACTGCATCTATAGACTTTTTGTTTTTGTTTGGTTTTGTTTCATTTGGTGGTACTGGGAATTAAACCCAGGGGCTCTTTACCACTAAGCTACATCTTTAGTTTTTTACTTTTTGAGACAGAGTTTCATCAAATTGCCCAGGCTGGCCTCAAATATGCAGTTCTCCTGCCTAGCCTCCTGAATAGGTAGGATTACAGTCATGCACTATCACTCCCAACTTAAAAAATAATTTTAGATGTTATAAAGTATTTTAAATACATAGAAAATAGAAATAACACAGTGAACACCTGTGTTTATTGAAACTTATTTTCTTCTTACTTATTTGAAATAAATAAAAATGTATAGAAGCTCCCATATCATTTCTTCTTAATCCCATTTTCTTTCCTCCTTACATAAAAAGAACTACTTGCATTAATTCACTTTGCTCATTTCTTGTGCTTCATACATTAAACACCTGTCAGTATGATGTATATTGTTGTAGAGGTCTTTAAACATCATTTAAAAAGATTCATACTGAAACTGGGCATGGTGGCTCATACCTGTAATCCCAGTAACTCAGGAGTCCAAGGCAAGAGGATTACAAATTCAAGAGCAGCCTAGGAATCAGGGTAGAATGCCCCTGGGTTCAATCCCCAATACCACATACCTACATGCACGCACATACCTACAAGATTCATGCTAAATGTATTATATTGCAACTTGCCTTATCATATCAGTGTTATTTTTAGATTTTTCTGTTCTGATACATTACTCTAATTCATTCTTTCTTTAACCTTTGTATTCCACTGATGATTTTACCACAATTTTCCATGAGGATGTTTCCAGGTTTGTTTTGCTGTGACAAATACTCCTGCTGTGGAGTATTCTTTTGTCAGATTTTAAAGTATTTGCCAATCTGATGTGTCTAAAATGGTATCTCATGAATTAAATTTTAATTTTTTTTATATTTATTTTTTAGAAGTAGTTAAACACAATACCTTTATTTTATTTATTTATTTCTATGTGGTGCTGAGGATCAAACCCAGGGCCTTGCACATGCTAGACTAGCCTTCTACCGCTGAGCCACAACCCCAGCCCCATTTCTTTAATTTCTAAGTGTCTTATTAAACATAATCAATTTAATAGTGCATCGGAAACTGTCCTATGGTCATTAGAAGAATATTCCCATTCACAGGAAATGCATACTGAAGTATTTATGGATAAAAGGTCATTCTGTGAATGACACCCTCAGTGATTTAAAAAAAAAAAAAAAGTACGAAGAGAAAGATGTGCGGGGCTGGGGATGTGGCTCAGGCGGTAGCGCGCTCGCCTGGCATGCGTGTGGCCCGGGTTCGATCCTCAGCACCACATACAAACAAAGATGTTATGTCCGCCGAAAACTAGGACATAAATATTAAAAATTCTCTCTCTCTCTCTCTCTCTCTCTCTCTCTCTCCTCTCTTTAAAAAAAAGAAAAGAAAGAAAGAAAGATGTGAACAGTTGGGGTAAAATTTATTGCAGATGAGGGCTGGGGTTGTGGTTCAGTGGTGGAGTACTCACCTAGCACGTGCGAGGCCCTGGGTTTGATCCTCAGCATCACATAAAAATAAATAAATAAAATAAAATAAAGGTATTGTGTCCACCTACAACTAAAAAATAAATATTTTAAAAAAAATTTACAGCAGATGAATCTGGAAAACAAAAGGTTATATGGATGTACTTTGCCATTTTATTCATATTGTAAATTGAAATTATTACCAAATAAGAATTTTAGAAAGTGTTCATGCAGTATTGAATGTTATAATACTGTAGTTCTAATGTTCAAAGATACTCTTAAATGGGAGTGGTAATGATTTTGGACTATTTTCAGGAATGAGAATGTTAAGATTTAGAGACAAAGTTCTTTCCTTAATTTTGTTATTTTTTTCTTTCACATTTGTCACTTCATATCTCCTTATACATTGAATAATATTTTTTAATTTTTCCTTTTTAAAAAAATCAGTATTTGTAATCCTTGGTGGTGTTTGCATGGGATTAGACAGATACATTAGAGTGATATAGAATACAGAGTTCAGAAATACTCATCTGAGGAAAACCTAAACAACTACAAGGGAGAGTGCTTCTTAACCAAAATTAGAACCCCAGGAATTAGAAAAGAAATTGCACATTTTGGGGCTACATAAAAAAAAAAAATCATGACAAAATATTGCATAAACAAAGTCAACAGACAAATCGCAGATTTGAGGAAAGTACAGAATAATTGAATTAAAAAATGGACAAAAGATAACAAAACAGATCACAACAGAAAATCTTAGGCAGCCAGTATACATGAAAAGAATCTTTAATTCATTAGTAATCAATAAAATAGGAACTTTTAAAAAATATTTTTTTAATTGTAGGTGGACACAATACCTTCACTTTATTTTGATGCGGTACAGAGGATCGAACCCAGTGCCTCCCATGTGCTAGGCGAGCACTCTACCACCGAGCCACAACTCCAGCCCTAAAATAGGAACATTTTATACACATCAAAGTGAAATTAGAGTAATAAAATATCTTTGCAGAGAATAGGAATACACATATAAAAACAGTCTAGTAACTTTTGACTAAAGCTTTACGTCTCCTAGGAATTTATCCCTTATACATACCTGTAAGTACGTTAATAAATATAGTGTGCATATAGAATATATGTACATGGAAAAAATATGCAAAGGCATATCATGTTAATATAGTTAATAGGATGAAGCAGGATTTGAAATGAGGATTCAAAAAATGAAAAGGGGTAAAAAGGTGTTTTTTAAAAAATGTTTGCTAGACTTGAATAAACATTTCTACCAAGAAAATATAAGCACATGAAAACATGTTTAACATCACTAATCATTAGGGAAATGCAAATCAAAATCTCAGTGAGATATTGAGTTGCCACATTATGCCTGTTAGGATGACTTCTCTCCAGAAAGAAAAATATTGACAAGGATATAGAAAAATTGAAACCCTTGTGGATTGCTCATGGGAATGTGAAATGGTGGTAGCCACTATGGAAAACAATGTAGCAAGTCTTTACAAAGATAAAAATAGAATTACCACATGATTAGGCAGTTTTGCTTCTGGGCATATACACAGAAGAATTGAAAGCAGGGTCTCAGAAATTTGTATAGTCCGAGTGTCTGTTACCAGATGAATAAAGAAACAAAATGTAGCATAACATACAGTAGAATATTGTTTGGCCTTAAAAATGAAGGCAATTCGAAATATGCTACAACATGGGCAACCCCTGGGGACATTAGGCAAAGTAAAATAAGTAACAGATAAATACTGTATGATTCTACCCTATATGAGGTACCTAGTATAGTCAAATTCATAGAGACAGAAAAGTAGAATGATAATTACTAGAGAAGGGAGCCATTGGGACTTGTTTAATAAATAAAATGTTTGAGTTTTGCAAGATGAAGAGTTCTGAAGATTTATTTTATATACTGAACAATATTGAATTATACACTTAAAGTGGTTGTGATAAATTTTGTTATATGTATTTTTCCATGATTTTAAAGTATTAATAGCATAATCACATCTATGTAATGAAGTAAATTATTAAATTAAGTAATGTAAATTATATTAAGAAATTAAAGACATAAAACAAGTTTAAGCATTTAAATAATTTATAACTGGTACCACAGATCTTAAGATATATGACTAAAGATTCAGGTTACTCACAGGCCGGGTCTTCTTACCTTTTTGTGTGAATCCTAGAATTCCTTCTAGAAAATTAGGATCTGAATGAAGTAAAGCAATCAAAGCAGTGCTTTTCTACTCGAAAAACTCCTTTGATGATGATGGTGGTTTGGTTATATTAAGTGAAATGTTAACTTTTTTCTTCTGATAAAATAGACTTTTTAAGTTAGTTTTTTCATCTTGCTATTTCTTTTTAAGAGAAATACCAGTAGACAGACAAAGCCACTCAAAGTTCAAGTTATGCATTCGTCTATTGTTGCACATCAGAATTTTGGTTTGAAACTTTTGTCTTGGCTGGGAAGTATTATTGGATATTCAGGTAAGTTCATAAAAGCTTGCACTAATAAATTATTAAAAAATGAGCTCATATGTCCTTGCAAAACTTTTTGGAAAAAAGATCAAGTGGAATCATTGCTTTAATTTCACATTTTAAAATACCATTTCAGGATATCTTTTTACAGAGAAAACCTGAGTTTACCTAATTTTGTCCCACAAGGGATTTTTCACTTCAAATAATACAGGGAACAATGGGCTAAACAATTATGAACAATTTTAAGATGCTAATACAATATAAATCTCAATAACTTGCTATAAGAACCTTTTGAGAAATGGAGCATCCTGTAGAACTCTTCATAAGCTAGTAAGCTGGAAGATGCTGCTGTAAATAAAACCCAATGGTAGGCAGTTTAAATGGTAAAACACTAGTATTAGTATCTTTGTTTTGACTCCGACAATTTTTGGTTAGCAATAATTTGCTACTCTGAAAATTTGCAAATTGAGAGTTACTGATTTGTATTTTTGCTTTGTCTTGTTTGCTTTTCTGCAGTTCACAAATTAGATAATTTAATGGTAACAATAATGAACCCTCAAGTTCAAAGCCAAAAATAAGTTTGGTGTATAACACCAAAATAATAAATAGGGATAAATAAATAAAATAAAAAATAAATAAATAAATAGGGATAAATAAATAAAATAAAAAATAAATAGGGATAGATCTAAGCTACCTGTCATATTACTATTTAGCCAAGGCTATTGATAAATGACATCTCAGTGTTACATTAGAGAAAATAACTAAAATAGTAATACCAAAGGCTTTTAGAGCATTGCCACACTGCAAACTGACAGTTGCAAATATGGAGGTGCAGAAGTTTAGGAGAACATTTTTACTTGCTTTGCCTAGAAAATGTCTTCCCAATTTTTCTTGGCCCCATATTCTTTAGTTTTGGTTTTCTTCATTTGTTACCTATATGCCAAGTACTGTGCTGTGGTATTAATGAATAGTATCATGAAAGTAATTTTGTGCTGAAAATTTTCTTTGAGACATTTATCATCAATAACTTTTAAATGCCTAAATATTTAAATCTTATATGAGATTTTGTCTTTAGGCTTTTAAATGATTTCTGACAGCTTTTATAATAAAAATTCCATTTTTAAAAATTTTGCATGCTTGAAGACTAAAAGTAGATATTTGAATTGTACAGTATGGAACAAAATATGATAAGTTTTAGTTATTTTAAGGCTTATATTCATATTTGAAGAACTTTTCTAAAGTTTAGCGTTTAGAAGATATTGGAATTTGTCATCTAGGGCCTTTCATTATGGTAGATCCATAGTGAATTTTTGTTTAACAAATGAACATTTTGTGTAGCAACTCTGAAAATTTGTGGTATATATTATAGTCCAGAAGTCATATCCCTTCTTTTTAAATGTTAGCGCAATTTTATATTATACCTATCTTCAGTTATTTTGGAGTATATAGCCATTTGATTATCATCTGCTTTAATTAACATAAGTGCTTAAAGAACAATATTTAATAGAAGTATGTATTATATATATGTAATAATATAAGTATGCACTATCAGTTGTTTTGTGGTGTTTTTCTCTAATTCATTAAAAGAGTTGTATATAATGTGAGATTTCACTTTTTTTCCTTTTTGTAAAAACAATAGTTATTGTTCACTTTTTCTAAGTAAATTTGACCTTTAATAAGACACATAACTATATATATCTATTTGAACATGTACTAAAATGTCACTTTATAATATTTGAAGTAGCCATCTCATGTTTGCTGTTCCTCCTATTTAAAGATGGCCTTCGCCGGATTTTATGTCAAGTTGGATTACAGGAAGGACCATATGGTGAAAACTCTTGTCTGGTGGATAGACTGATGCTTAGTGATTCCAAATTATGGAAAGGTGAATCTCTTAACTACTTTTAAGGTATAAAGGGTTGGGATGTTAAAGGTCTTTTCATTTTCAAATTAGCATTGTAGGACCTGTATGTAGTATAGCCCAGTGGTGGAATAAGTATGTATGTAGCATGTGTGAGGCCCTGGGTTCATTCCCCAATACTTAAAAAAAAAAAAAAAAAAAAAAAAGTAGGGGCGGGAGTACAGTCTTAACCTTTGGGAAAAACAGCAACATTTTTGGTCTATGATGCAAATTAAATAACCTTATATTTTGTTAGAAAATTATATTTAGAAAACATAATTTTCTTAGCACAAAATCTGTACTAAGAAAAACATGTAGACTTTTGTTCTTGGGAGTTTTAGAAGACAATCACATAAAAACTTTAAAGTAATTTTTGGCTTCTTGGGTATAGCAATATCTTACACCTACTCTTTTTCTAAAGGTGCTAGGAGTGTATATCATCAATTATTCATGAGCAGCCTACTTATGGATTTGAAATACAAGAAACTATTTGCCATTCGATTTGCAAAAGTAAGTGTTTTCTGAGTTTTGAAGATTAATGAAATAGGTTATATAAAGGATAAGTATAGCCTAAAATTATTTCAAAACTCAAAAAAATTCGCATCTACTCATAATACATCAACATATTGATTTATCTTTTATCAATAAAATAAAGTTACAGTAGTAAAACATTTAACATCTCCCTTGATAACATAAATATCCATCTATGTAGTATTTGTTAAATACAAAGTGATAAAGGAAGAATTAAATCTGTGCCATTGTGAATTATGCATTGGTCCTATTAAGGAAACAATAATCTTGGTTGAAACAATATGCATATAAGACTTAGGAATTATGAACTCAGTGGTTGATAAAGGTTAAGTTCTTCCTTTCAGCAACATTTGATTAAACTAACCACATATTTTTCTATTCCCCTGAATTAGGAGTTCTTAATTAAGGGAGTATGTAAGAATTATTTGGAGAGCTCTTTCAAAATACATGTGTTTATGTTCCATTCTCAAATCTATTGAAGCAGCTTCACCAAGAGTGGGGCCCAAGCATGTGTACTTTGCAGGAGTCATCAAATGATTCTAATACACATCCAGAAGTAATGAAAATCGGTTTTCATGAAAGACTTTGTTATGTTACTGTATTTGGCCCCACCAGTTAAAATATCATCCTAGGATTTGAATAAACAACTTTGGGCTCCAGAAAAATCACTGTTTATACAAGATTCCACAGGTTTTAGTGAATCAATATTTATACAGGATTTAATTGGTAGAAATTATTCCAGTTGTTGTTCTCATAGCAGTGTTATCCTATTGAGTTATCCAGCACTGACTTCATTATAATCCTTAACCCTTTGGTCAATGTGGATTAGAGGTGAATCTCCCCCTTGTTGTTTAGAATTACCAGCAGTTGCAGAGAGATTTTATGGAGGATGATCACGAGCGAGCAGTGTCGGTGACTGCTCTGTCTGTCCAGTTCTTCACTGCACCTACTCTGGTGAGTAGTGCTTGCCTTTTCTTTGTAACTGATAGCTGGCACTCCTTGCCTTTTTTTGCCTTCTTAATAGAACTATGAGCGTTTGCAGAGTGATTATGTGACAGATGACCACGACAGAGAGTTTTCAATCGCAGACCTCTCGGTTCAGATATTCACAGTTCCTTCACTTGTAAGTACTGAAAGACTAGAAGAACTTTCTTGTTTTAACTAACAGATATAAAGCTTTAAAATAATAGAAAACTAAGATCTGTGTGTTCCTGAATAGAGTAATATTTTACTAATAGGCAGTTGGACTCCAGACACCTTCAACTACACTAGAACATATCCTTGAATATTAAGTAATTCTGGGGGAAAGTCACTGAAACTCAATCCATACTTTCTCAAAGTACTTTCCGGAGATTTTGAACTAAAAGTTAACATTAAACTAATTGGTTTATCAAATTTATACTTGACATTAGAATCAGAAAGCATGTTGTGTACCATCTCATTTTGTGAAATTTTCCTACTCACCTATTCCTCCCCATAAAGAAAGGGTAGGGAAGGGAAGAATAGAAGTTCATTGGATTAGACAAAGGGGAATGAAGGAAGGGGTGCGAGAGTAGGAAAGATAGTAGAATGAACCAGACATAACTTCACTATGCTCATATATGAATACAGGACCAGTGTGATTCCACATAATGTACAATCACAAGAATGGTATCCTAATTAGAATAAGTTATACTCCATGTATGTAAAATTAGTCAAAATATACTCTACTGTCATATATATCTAAAAAGAATAAATAAATAAATAAAAAGAAAGAAAGGAGTGACTAAAGCAATTGAATCATGATTGGGTGGTCTTTTATTAAGCTTCACTACGTGCTCCTAAAGCCATCATTATGTTTTAGTACACATAGTAATTTAAAATTATGTTTTTTATTCAATAAATTTGTTGAGCACCTATTATTTATTGGGCACATAAAACTAAAAATGCAATGGTGAACAAAGACAGATGTGATTCTTGCCCCTACTTAATGGGAAAGAGTCACCCAAGTAGGTAATTATTTTCTAATGAAAATTCTGAAGAATTTGGTATCTTTGAGAGAGAGGGGTTGCTCACTGGTAGAGTGTTTACTTAGCACCACCATTGGGAGGGGAAAAAAAAAAAAAAAACAGCAAGATCTGAGCTTCTTCCACAACTCAGAGAAGAAGATCTCTGTGGGGACTTGAGGGAAGGTTCATGTGGAGGTACTAGCACTTGAGAACCTGAGGCAGGGAGAGGAAACAGGAAAGCCACTGCACTTAAAGATTCTTGAACATGGAGTGAAATTGTATAGGTTTAAGAGTGTTTTACAGTTCCTTTACTAACAAGGCTTGTTTTCCAGATTTAAAAATGTCTTTTCTGCCCCATATTGCTTTTTGTTAAAGAATATGTTCTAGTAAAGGATATATTGTAGTATTGCTATTATTATAGGCTAAATTAAGGGATTTGGTTTTTATCTTAAGATCACAGGAGGGCCATGAAGAATTGTTGTGATTCTTTTGTTTGTGGTGCTGGGGATCGAACCCAGGGCCAGGCACATGTTAGGAATGCACTCTACCACTGAGCTATATCTCCAGTCCCAATGAAGAGTTTTGATCATCACATTAGTGATTTTAAAAGATCATGCTGTTTGTAATTTAGGGAACAAATTTGAGAGATCAAAAGTGAGTGTGGTGGGGCTGGAGCTAGGGCTCAGCGGTAGTGCACTTGCCTGGCATGTGTGAGGCACTGGGTTTAATTCTCAGCACCACATAAAATAAATAAAGGTCTATCAACAACTTAAAAATTTTTTTTTAATTTTTAAAAAATTAAAAAAAAAAAAAGTGAGTGTGGGGAACCTAATTAGAAGCTAATGCAATGATCCAGACAAGAATTGATGTTAACTGGAACCAGGGTGCTAACAGTGGATATAAGATATTTTTAGGTAGTAAAATATACAGAACTAGTCAAGTGGGTTTAAAGAATGTTGGATTTGGTGACTGATCAGCTATTGAGATTGAAGGAGAAGTATAAGGATGACTCGGAGGTTTTTGATGTAAAACTGAGTGGAATTTCTAGACATAAGGTATTACATAAAATTCTATTTATTTTTCTCCTCACTACACTTACTGCTTTAAAGGACTTAGTATCGAGACCCTGGGGCTAGTGGAAAGTATGGGAGACTGATAATAGTAGTATATTCAGAATGGCCTCACCCTCTGACACCATCTTGATGTCCCTGATTCAGATCTGTTTCTGGAATCTCCCTTCCATGGATTAGTACTATCTTATTACCTCCATTGGCTTCACAGACACATCTAAATTCTAGGGTTGCCATAATTCAGGTTCTGAAGTTTAGAATCCTGATACTTAAATGCTTCAGTAAGTAGAGTTAGCCAGGGCTGGGGTTGTAGCTCAGTGGTGGAACACTTGTCTAGCACGTATAAGGCACTGGATTTGATCCTCAGCACTATATTAAAAAATAAATAAATAAAAACACTGTGTCCATCTACAACTAAAAAATAATAATAATTAGAGTTAGGTAGTTCAGGATAAATAGCCAGCCTATTTTAAAATTGTTTTAGTTGGATAAATAATTTTACTTTTGAACTCACCTATTTTCTGCCCCAGGATAAAATAAAAAATTAAAATTCAAAGCCAATGGCAAAAACGTAACAATTCCAAACACACACACACAAAAAAATGTTAGCGAAAGTAACATCCTCTCAGTGGAAATATTCAAACAGAGCTCAACACTCATATGTGGGATGTTAGGGAAATAATCCTGTATGAAGGTAAGGTAGAAGTGTGGACTGAGTATCCACTAAAGTTCTTATCTATGTTGCTTTAATGCCTCCTGGGCGATTCTACTACTGTGTTAATATCTTTGACAAGATAAATAAAATTAATGAGACTAGCAGGGGTGAAAAGAGAGACCAGAGGTACACAAGTGAAAATACAGACCGGGAAACATGTTATAATGCTCCATTGTCAAGAATTGGTTTGGTTCTGTCTTCAGTTTTCTCTGAGGGATTACCTAACATTGCTAAAAGATATTTAGTAACCATTATTTTACCCAGTAAATAAATACTAAAGATACCTAATAAATATAAAGTAAATGAATCCAGAGAATTGCCACTTCCCATTTATTTACTACCTTATACTGTCAAACTTTTAAGTGTTCATTTGCTTTGCCTCTCTAAATGCAGGATAAGGCTTATGATTTGCTCTGTTTTATGGCCCTCAGGGATTCCAGCTCTTGACTCAACCATAAAAGATGCTCAGTGAATAAATGGTATTTTATCTGGGGATGGTGGGGCATGCCTATAAATCCCAGCAGCTCAGGAGGCTAAGACAGGAGAATAGGAAATTTAGAGCCAGCCTAAGCAACTTATATAGTCTCTGTGTGTGTACCCACACAGGTGCATGTATGGTTAATGCAACAAATACATTCATTGGTAAAAGAAGAAGAAAAAATTTATATCATTGATCTATCAATATAGCTAATTATATTTGTTGGTTTTTCTACTTTTGAAGCATGCTGATACTGTATTACAAATGTTACATGGCCACAGTGCATTCTTTGAATACACTGCTAAGCCCAGTTTGAAAGTATTTTATTTAGAGTTTTTGCTTATATATTCACAAGTTAAGTAGGTCAGTTTCCCTCCTGTGTGTATGTTTTAATTAGATTTTAGCCTTGTAAAATAAATGGGATATATGTCTTATCTTTATATTCCAGGAAAAATTAACAGAATTACCTAGGTTGTGGTTGTTGTTGAATATTTAATCTAAACTTAGAATGTTTGGGAGGTTAAATCTTAGAAATATTCTTCAAGCTTTATTTGTGAGCCAATTTTCATAATTATATACTTCTTTAGTAACAGATCCTCTCCTTTACCCCTAACTTAGTGTCACTTACATACTTAGTATTCTTCTCTACTCTAGGACAGTGGGCATGCTTCCAAATCACTCTGGAACTATTGAAAGTAGTTTTATGCTGCCTTTTCCCTTCCCATTCTTCCCGGAGTCATAGACTGTAGAGATGGGGCCTAGGCATTTGCAGTTGTTTGGTTTGGGATTTTGACTTAATTGAGATAGAGTATATACAGAAAAGTAAACCCTTGGTAACTCTACAGCCCAATAAGTTTTCACTTAGTAGACCCACCCATGTTTATCAGCATTCGAGAGTTAGATTTTTTGTGTACATAGTCTTATCAGCTATGAAGGAGGCAGTTTTAGTTCTTATTTCCCAATCTTTATATCATTTTTGTTTTCTTTATTATACTGACCGGAGCCTCCAGTACAATATTGAATACAAATGGTGATAAAAAGCAGGAATCTTGGTCTCATTTCTCATCTTAGGGGAAAATACTTTTAATATTTCATCATAAGATATAATGCTTTGGGGTTTTGTTTGTAAGATATAATGCTTTGGGGTTTTGTTTGGTTGGTTGCTTATAGATACTCTTAATTAAAGAAATTCCCCTTTATTCATTGTCCTGTGAGATATTTTTGTTTGTTTGTTTTTAAATGGTGAATAGAGGACTTGGGATATAGCTCAGTTGGTAAAGTGCTTGCCTCCCATGCGCAAGGCTCTGGGTTTAATCCTCAGCAACACACACACACACACACACACACACACACACACAAATGTGAATAGATATATAATTTTTGTGAATTCAAGAAAATGATTCGATAATGTGACCATGTAAATTATTTTTCTCCTTTTGTCTTTTAAGGTGATTTTATGTTAATTGATTTTTTTCAAATGTCTTATTATTATTGCATTAGGAAATAAGACAAATGTGATTGTGATTTCTTATTCTTTTTTCTATATTGCTTGATTCCTTTTATATGCTACTGTGAGAGAGATTAGATATAAATTTTCTTTTCTTGTAATGACCTTTTTGGGGTTTGTTACCAGGATTATGGAGGAGTTGAGAAGTGCTGGGGAGTGACATTGGCCAAATTATGTTATTATATTGTGTGTATATATGAATATGTAACAACAAATCCCATCATTATGTACAACTATAATGTACCAATAAAAAAATGTGGGGGCAAAAAGAATATGGATAACTCGTTCATTAAATTGACATATATTTTATTTTTTGGAAAAGTTTATGTAAGATAAGTTATTGTGTTTTTAACTATAGAGAAGAA